TAATGCTGCCACCACACAGGCACTGGTTTGTTAGGGCTCTGTGCAGCCAGAGGCGCACAGACCCTGCAAACCTTGGGGTTGCTTTGCCCACAGATAATATTTCTGGGTGCCTCTTTCAGCCTGAAGCATCCCAAGATAATATCAGGTAGGACTGAGGGAACAAACAGGCAAGCTCCACTGGCCAAGATGGGAGCAAAAAGGCCTGTTTCTCCCACCTCCGGAGTACCACAGCAAGGCATGCTGTTACCCTTATTGATCAGGGGGAGGGAACGGGGGGGGGGCATGGAACAAGAAAGTCAGAATACACTTTGAGCAAACATAAATCAGAGTCTTAAAACAGTCTTGGATATAATAATCCTTTTAAAACTGGCCTAGACATAAATCCTAATTTCTGGCTAGTTTCCAAGTCTTTACTTGCAGAAAGTTACCCAGGCAGCAGCCTGGAGGCACACTGCTTGTTGCTTTCCAAAATGCCCACTGCCAGAAAAAATGCGTTCCCCTTGGCCAAGTCACCTGGTTGACCACCCTGAACCAAAAAGAATGCAAGAGCCATCTGCCTGGAATGACCCAAGTAATAGAGAGCGTAAGCAAGAGATTTCTTCACAGTGGTCATAATCCATGTGCATGTGTGGTAGCAGGGATGGGGAGAGGGAAATAGGAAACCTGAACACCAAGCTTGTGAAAATTCACTAAACAATGGCAAATCTGAGTTATGACTGTTTTGTGATTCAAGAAAAACCATATTTAAAATACTCTAGGAATTTTTAATAGATCCCATCGTCAGTAAAATTTGACAGAAAGTTTAGACCAAAGTAAGTCATTCTGTTCTACGGTTTATGTATGCATGGTTATTTATGATAGAAACAGCTTGTGTTCAAGTCTCCCATACAGGAAGGGGGTAGGGTGGGATGGAGAGCTTCACTGGAGCAGGAGCGCAGGATTAAAAAAATAACAATAATTAAAAAAAAAAAAATCACAGGAGCCAATAGGGGGCCAATGTCATATCTGGACTATCTTCCAACTTTTTATCTTTGATGTGTGTGTGCACACTTGGTTATAAGATTGACAATTGCAGGTTGGGACGTTCAAAGTGTAGTAAGATTCAAGAGCTGAAATCTTTGAAGCTGGCTAAGGGATATGAATTCCCAAACACTATCAAAATTTACAAGGACAAAGATTGGATACCAAACCCTCCAGTTGGCTACGAAGGTCTCAGCCAGCATGTCACAGGACAGCCAGTGCTTCTCATTTTTGAACTTGTAGTACAGCTAAAGGCAAACAATAGCAAAATCCAGTTATGTGACTATCCAAGTGCCCTGCAGTATCAGAGCTTCGAAGTCGAAGCATTACTATGATTTAATGCAAAAAGGCAGCTACTTGCAGCTTCAGTTCAAAGACTGAAAAGCATCGATAATGGCAAGTATCTTTAGAAACAAACAAAAAAAAAGTTTAAGCCTACTCAGCTTCAAAAGAGCCATAAAACAATTAATATTCCTTCTGGTGCTTGAACAATCCTATACTCTAAGCTTGCTTGTTCAGGTATTGAACTGAGGTATTAGCTTATCCCATACGTTTGAAAGCAATTGTGCTTTTTTGGAGTTTTTCGTAAAGCAACAAAACTGAGGGAGGGAAGAAATGAGATTTCTGTGGGTTGTGGCTAAGAGGTACATTTTTAAAATACCCTTCTTAGTTTTGAAATACTAACCCTCTGTCCTCCATCTTCATTTAAAATATAAAAACAAAAACCTTTTAGATGCCTTGTAGGATCTACAAGATCCTCCCCCAGGGGGGGCAGGGGGAGAGGGATTTGACAGTGGGGGTCTATTACAGACCCCCCAACCAAGAGGAGGAGCTGGACAGGGAATTTTCAGGTCAGCTTGCAGAGGCACTAAAATCAAGGGATGTAGTGGTCATGGGCGATTTTAATTACCCAGACATCTGCTGGGAGGAGCAGTCAGCC